AGGATGTCTTGGTTCTCCCCACATTCACTTGAGGCCATGCACTGTGCCATCAAAGTGGCACCTGCTGCAATTGCCGCCGAGGCGTCCCGAAGCACCTTGACGTGGATGCCATTCAGGTTCTTCGAGCGAAGCGAAAAGACCAGTACCTTTGTTGCTGCCTCCAACTCCGAGGCAGTAATATCCCTGAAAAGGACCTCCTCCATGTGATCCGTAACACGTTGCAATTCTGCTCGGTATTTACGGTAACTGGAGCAATCCTGGAATTCCTTCCTCGGATCTTCCAGGCCCTTCAGTAAAGCCTCCTCCCTCTTCTTCTCCTCAAACATTTTCTTTGAGCTTGAAAGGCTTTCTTTTTTTATGTTGCCCCGTCGTTTCGGGTCTTCCTCGTGGTCTCAGCTTTCTCGTAAAGGCCTCCTCATCTACATCCCCGTCAGATTTTTTGAGAATTTCCCATCTGTCATTCTCCTCAGAGGAGCCATAATCGTCTTCAGAGGAAGACCCATTCCTCCTCTTATTACCGGGCGTACCCGACCTCAGTTTATATTTTGGAGTCTCCGCAACTTCCTTGTCGCATCTGCTGATGCTGCGAAGTCCATCTCGTCTTCCTAGGCGACTCGGACCTGGCTGGTCATCCACGGCCATTTCCACGTCCGTGTCTCCCACCTCCATCCCAGCAGGACCATCGTGGGTCCCCGCTTATCGTGTGTCCATTTGCCTTACCAGGTGATCCGTATCCGTGAGGTCGATTAAGTTAAGGGAATATTCACTCATTTTCGGTTTAAAACCCACAATCCAGTGCGGCTCCATTACCTGGGCATGCACGTATCCCCCGGAAAGGGAGGAGCCTCCGAGTTTCCCCAGAGGAGTAGCATATGGCTCTGACCGATGGAATATGCATCATCGGCACTGGCCTCCCGCCCCCTACACGCACCCTGACCGTCATTTCTGACGGCCAGACCGCTTTCGGGGGACCCATGCCTCCGACAACATGGGGACCGCACTGAACGCCGCCACGCGGGGGCCCCATGGAAGGAGGTAGCTCACCGGTGTCGCACCCCATCGGGAGCGCCTCCCCCATGTCAGCCAGCGTGCCTGCGCCGCCCAAGGGTCCGCTTTAGGGCGATGCGATCGCATTCCCTCGGGCACAGCACACAGGGGTTCCAGCCCCGCCTCGTAATACGTCCGAGCGGCCCGGAACATCCCTCCACCCCCCGAGTACCATGAGAGGTTTCAAACCCTCATGGTGTGCAGACCCGGGTGTGGGTTCCTCCCTCCGCCCGGCCGTGACCGGGACGGATGAGGGAGAGGTCCTCCGGCTGCCGGAGCACCGGCGTGCAATGCCTCCGGGAGTAGGGTCCTCTATGATGGCGCTCGAGGTCTGGACCCAGACCTCGGAATACGTCCGAGCGGCCCGAGACACCCTCCACTCCCTGGGTACCATGGGCAAGCCCCCATGGTGTGCAGACCCGGGTGTGGATTCCTCTTTCCGCCCAGCCGTGGTTGTGACGGATGAGGGAGAGAGGTCTTCCCCTTTTCGGCTGCCGGAGCACCGGCGTGCAATGCTTCCAAGGGTGGGACCTCTCAGAACGTTGTAGGGCACCCCGGCCCGAGCGGCCCGGAGTACCCCTCCGCATCACAGGCACCATAGGGGGAGGATCACCACGGGGTGGAGCCCTGGGTGCGGGTACGTCCCTCCACCTCCGATCCGTACATAACGGATAGATCGGGACAGGTGAGGAGTGGCCCTCTCTCTTCGGCTGCCGGAGCACCGGCGTGCAGTGCCTCAGAGAGAGGGCTCCCCTTCTCGAAGCGAGTGTTGAGGAGGTCACCCCTTTCGGCTGCCAGAGCACCGGCGTGCAATGCCTCTAAGGGTGATAGTCTCCTCCCACTCGCTTCATGACCAGCCTGGTCATAAACCAGGCTGATCGAACAGCCCGGTCGGGTGTTCTTGGTCCAGTCCCTCCGTACAGACCACTCCGGCATGGTAAAACCTGCCAGGGGCCCAAACCCCCGCCGGCACAGCTCTGTACATCATTGGGATCTTTAAGCCCCCCACCACGACAAGGTGGCACCCACGGGGGGGTTCTGTTGGGTATTGAGAGTCGAAATTTATGGTGAATGTAGGGTGTTTACAGGAATATATTTTGGTGAAAAAATCAGGCCTGTATCTCTAGCCGTTTAGAAGATTATTTTTGTTATAGAGGAGGAAATGCCTACGCACACCCTGCAGCCACGCAGAACTGCAGGGTAGTGTGGGACTTGCACCCACTAACACCTCCCCCGGCCTCCACGTAGCTTACGACAGAGGGGTTCGGGAAACAAATATTTTTTTTTATGACGCAGGGGAAACTCATCATGGGTACCCCCCGCCCTCTGGGAGGGGCAAGGGGTTATATGAGACTCTTACTCACTAAAACCCCTGCGGGATGTCTACCAGCCGGACCGAAATGGGGGAGTCAGGGAAACTGCGCCAGCATTCCCTCCCCGACACCCCGGCCCCAGGGCTCCAAGAGAGCCCCACGCTCAAGTAGCGCGCCCTCAAGTCCTTCTCCGCGAAAAGAAGGTCAAGGCGCAGTTACCGGAACGGTACGACACCCGTGTACAGGCGGCGTGCCCACCATCCGGGGCTCCCCTGGGTCCGCATCAGGCCGACCAAGGCCGTGCCTACTTTGCGGACCCGAGGGGCCAGGTTCCTGAAGTGGGGCCCGAATCCCCATTGGCCGTCCAGTGTCAGGCACAGATATTTCATCGTGGGCCCGACACGGACGCGGACTCCATCCACCAGGACTCGGGCCTTTCGCGGCCCCCCTCGACCCCGGCCATCAAACAACATAGCCTGAGCCTTTTGGGGGGGTCACTTTGAGCCCGATGTCATTGATGGTGCTCACTACCGAGTTTAGAGCTGCCTCCACTCGGAGTTTGGCCTCTCACCAGTTCTCCCCCTCGGCTAGCACCAGCGTGTCGTCTGCGTAGCAGACTACGTGGCAGCCGGGGGGGAGCGGAGAGCGCAACAACCGGTCGAACGTGATGTTCCATAGCAGGGGACCCAACACAGACCCCTGCGAAACACCGCGCTCCATTTCCCGCTGGCTTTGGACCCCGCCTCTCCCGGAGTAGGCGAGGTCCCTGCCCCTGAAGTAGGCCGCTAGGATGCGCCGGAGATAGACGGGCACCCCGTGGTACACGAGGGCCCGCCCAATCTCCGGCCAGGGCAAGGTGTTAAACACATTTATCATGTCCAGAGACACCGCGAGTAACACCCCGCCCCCTTCCGCCACGGCAGTATGGGTCAGGTCCCGGACGTGCTGGATCGCGTCCAGCATGGATCGTCCGGGCCTGAACCCGTACTGATTGCCGTGGAGGTCCGGCCCCTCCAGGGACAGATGCTGGACGAGGCGGTCCGCGATGATGCGTTCAAGCATCCTACCTACCTCGTCCAGCAGGCATATCGGCCTGTAGGCCGGCGGCCCACCGGGCGTCTTGCTCTCCTTCGGGAGGAGGACCAACTTGGCCCTCCTCCACTCCTGAGGACAGACTCCCTCTCTGAGCACCCCTCCATCATCTCCCGCGTGGCAGCAGATAGGCTTCCATCGCCGAGGGCGAGAGCCCAGGCGCGGCCAGGAATCCCGTCGGGGCCTGGGGCTTTACCCCTGGCCGCGAGCTTTTTCCTGGCCCTGGTGAACTCCTCTTCCGAGACCCCCAGGTCCTCGTCCCAGTCCCCCTCCTGAAGTTCAGGAATAGAGATCCGGTGGGGGCCCCATTCCGGCCTCGGAAAAAGGGTGTCGAGGAGCCCCCTGATGTCCTGGGGGTCCATGGACTCCGTCGGCGGGGTGCCCACGGGCGTATCTTACCGACAGTCCGTTTGTACGGGCGCCCCTACGGGTCCTCGTCCAAGGAGCTCATTATGCACTCCCAGGCTCCCTCCTTTGCATCGGCGATGGCGGCTTTGAGGGCCTGCCTCGCGCGGAGGTAGCCCTCTTTCGCCCTCCCGGCATCCCCGCCATCGCGCCGGGCTCGAATATGTTCCCTCCTGGCCTGGATGCAGGAGTCGCGGATATCCGCGATCTCCGGCGTCTACCAGTACGCAGCCCGGCGCCGGCGGGGGTGGAACCGCGGCATCGCAAGTCGACGCCACGATGCCCACCACCTCCCTGGCCCCCTCAAGAGGGGGCGGAGGGTCCCACTCACCTGGCTCCCGATCGAGATGCCAGGTGGCCACGAGGACGGCCGCCTTAAACCTATCCGCGTCAAGCCGACCTAGGGCCCATCTCTTGGGGAGGGGAAAGTCCCCCTCCCCAGGGCGGCGGTCCAGCCCCACGCGAGGGGTGGGGAGTCGGAGAGACCACGTCACATATCGATGGTCCGACAGTGACTCGCTCTCCGTCTCCACCACCCACTCCCGGAATAACCGAGCAGCCGAGGGGGAGGCCCACGTCACGTCTATGACCGACTCGCCTCTCCCCCCGGCCGCACGCAGGTGCTGGTGGACCCCGTGTTCATCAACACGAGGCTCAAACCCGCCGCCCAGTCGACCACGGCTTTGCCCCGGGGGTCTCTCTGCCGGGGATCGCAACCCCACTCGTCCGAGTGGGCTTTGAAATCCCCGGCAACGATTAGGGGTCGGGGTAACACCTCCGTACCACGTCCCCGACCCTGTCCAGGACCCTCACTATAGGGGCAAGCTTGCCGCGGCCCTCTCTGTTCCTGTGGTGGGGGAAATAAACCCCCACCACAGTGATGGGCCCATAGTTGGCTGCCACGTACGAGCTCCCTTTCTTCCTTATCTTACAGGGGGAGAGCCCGCTGCGGGGTTGACCACCACGGCCACCAAGCCGCAGTTGCCACCCAGCCAGTTGGGATTACTGGCCGGGATATAGTGCTGCTCGGTGACTATCCCCAGCCCGGCGCCCAGTTACTTTAACCTGTGCACCCACAGGTCTTGGGCCCGGACGCTGCGGCCGAGGTTGGCCTGGGAGACCCGGAGCGTGAAAGCGCGGCCTTCACGCTTCCTCCGGGCGCTCCTCTTTCACTCCCACCGGGGAGACCCCGGGCGACGGCGACGTCACCCCAGTCTCCCCCGCAGGAGCCTCTGCCATTGTGGTGATCGTCTGGTTGGATGTCTCCCGTTGAGGTGCCTCCATGGTAGCATTCCGCTCTGTCACCTCCTCGGGTGCTTCTTCGGAGCCAACTGTCTGAGGGGTCCCTACCTTAGCCTCCCCCTCCTCTCGGAAGTACGAGGGGGTGACGCCAACAGGAGAAGCCGGGGATGGCGCGTCCTCCGACTCCCCTTCTACGGTTGATGGGGGTGGGGTTTTAAGGACCTCCACCCTCCTTACCTTGTCCTTCCTATCCGGGGATGGCGCTGCCTCCTTCTCCTCCTTCTCCTTCGGTCGCTCCTCCGGTGTTGCCGCAGGGGGGGTGGCCTCCAATGCTCCCCACTTCCTTTTCTCCCTCTGCGGCAAGGCTTCCTCCTCCATGGGGGTGGCGGGGTCCATGGTGCGATCCGTTGTCGCCTCCGCCTCCATCCTGACCTCGTCCCTCGTGGGAGAGGAGGCCGGTGTGACCTCCTCCCTTACATTGGCCCCGGTTATCCGCGGAGAGGCCTTCAGGTCCCTCCTATCGTCCTTCTCCGGGGTAGGGGGGACACCCGCCGTCTTCCCTTCAGGGCCAGGTCCGGGCTGCCTCCTTTTCAGGTTGGCCTCCCTCCTCCTCTTCTGCCTGTCCGCTAAGGGTTTGCACGCTGGTCCTCCTATCTTATGGCCAGCTGGCCTGCCCGCTTCGGCGCACACAGGGCAGTGTGCCAAAACCGCCTTACACTCTTTGGCGCGGTGGTCGGGAGTACTGCAGCGTTAACAGTTATCACTGCGGTCGACGACGCTCTTGCACCGCTCGCACACATGGCCCTGTTCCATACAATGGAAACAGCGCCTTGCGAGCGGGCAGTGCCGCCACCCCGGCTCGGGTCCAGCCCACTTGGACCCGCCCCGCGGCAGTGACCTTCGAGGCTGCCGCCAACGGACACCGCACCACTGCCGTGGTCGTTCCCCGCTGGGTGAGTTGCAACTCACCCCCGGAGACCTTCGTGGGTGAGCAGCCCCCAGCGAGAGCCCAGCGGCCATCACGTCTACGGCCCCGACCGTCGCGTCCAGGCCTGTGAGCCGCAAAGCCGCGGTCTTCACAGGTCTCTGGACGCGATAGCCGGGGCCCTTCTGCGCTGCCAGCTTGTCCAGCTCTTCGGCAAGCCGGTCGGCAGTGAGCCCTGCATTGAGGCCAGGCACCTCTGTCAATAAGGCCCCTGTACGGGCCGTACGAATTTTAAGGACCCCTGGAATGCCCATATCTACCCGTTTAATACGGCGCCTGGCCTCCGTCATAAATTCTTTGTAAGAGTCCTTCGGGCAGGTGACTGTGATGGCCGCTGATCTTGGCGGCTTCGGCACCGTTACCACTTTCTTAGGTTCCCTGGCAGGCTGTGGAGGAGGGGGCTTGGGAGCGTTCCTCTACTTCTCCTCCCTCCTCATCCTCTTCTTCTCCTTAGGACCTCTCCAACCCTCGTCCTTGGTCCTCGCCGCGGGTATAGGTTGGGGTCGGTTGGCGGGTGGGTTCTTGGATCCCGCCTGCTGTTGACCACCGTTGGCCCCTTTCCCTTTCCCCGCCTGTTTGACCGTTTGTACGTAGGACATCTGCTTTTCCCGCAGGGGAGGATTGACTGGCCCCGGTTTTGCCGTTTCCGGTCTCCTCCTCGCCTCCTCCTTCCTCGCAGTAGCCCCCGTCTCCGGTCTCTCCTCTCTCTTCACCTTCCTCCTTCTCCTCCTATTCTGGGTGGCAGTCACCCCAACCCTAGGCTTCCGACCTCCCGCTCCCTCCCCTCCCCTCTCTTCCAAGTTGGCTTTCGCCTCTCTGGTTGGGGTGGGAGCGGGATTTGGAGCGGTGGCTCGAGCCATTGTTCCAGGAGACGCCTTCCCAGAATCACTCTCCATCGCAGCCGTCCTCTCCGCTACCTGGGAGTAGTTACTCTCCTGGCCTCTGTACCCAGGTTTTGGACCGCCATCGCCTCGTCCAGTTCTCTTATTACCCCCTTAATCGGGGGTCTCCGGGCTGCCAATGGGGCGGTGGCATGCTCCTTCCCCTTGTCAAAGTCATTATATTGTGTCATATCCAGGTTGCCAGGTTGTCATTATATTGTAGTATATCCCCCTGGACATACTCCTTCTCTTCCGCGGAGGAGTCGGAAGATTCACGGACCGGTGGTCTGACCACCTTCCTTCTCTTCCTCTCCTTAGTCTTCCGCCTGCGTTCCTCCTTTCCCTCAACTTCGGACGCTGAGGAACTGCTGCTACCAGCAGTTGCCTCAGCATATGTCCTGCGCCTCGGGTTGGGCTGAAGTGGGTCCCGCGCAGCGCCGGTGGTCATTTTCACCGCGCTCTGTTCCTCCTCCAGCCTCCGGTTTTCTACCCTTAGTCTTCTATTCTCCTCCCTTATTGCCTCCAATTCTGCTTCGATGCCTGACCTGTCATCGCCCCCTCCATCTTTGGCTGCAATCCTAACAATAAGAGTTTGGAGAATCGCCTCGGAGGCGGCCACAGCGCGATTCATTAGCGACACACAGGTACCCTTCAGGGTCTTCGACCTTCGTGCCACTAGACGGATCGCACCAAGTGCACGGCCCGCCTCCGAGGCTAGTTCTGCTGCCGCGGCTTCACGCAATAACGCCGCAGTACTGGCGTCCTTACAGACCTCCTCAAGTGGGCGCTTGTCCGATAAAGACCGCAGCACCCCCCTATTGAGGAGGTCCATAATATCCTTCTCTAGGGACTTCTCCGTCTCAACCTTTTTCCTCACCGCTTCTGCCTTTCTCTTTTGCCGCAGGCCAACTCCCAACCCCGTGGTGTCTGGCCTTCCGCGCGGGTCCCTTTTTGGGACCAGGATTGGTTCGGGAGACGACTGCTTCCTCGGGGTGGATGTCCTTACCGAGACGACTGAGCTCCCACTCGACACCATCTCTCTCGTCCTGTTCCCGCTATCCCGGGTCCCGACCTTGCCCGACTTGGCCTTGTCCGAGACAGGGCCCGCAGTGACTGTGGTAATGGCCTTGGACCCCCTAGTCCTTCTGGCCTCGTCGCTGGTGCTGGCGACGGCTATATTGGGGACTGAGGAGGTAAACCTCCCCCTTATGTCCCTGACCTTGGACTTTTGCGAGAGAACGACATCGGCAACGATCGTTGGTTTCCCTTTGTTACCGACCGCGCTCGCGACTGCGACTGCGTCCTCTCCCCCGGTGACCTTTGACCTCCCCTCTTACTTGAGAGGGGGCCCGGCCTGTTTTTAACTGGCGTCTTGCCAAAGCTTCTGGTGCCTTCGCCCCGAGCCAAAGTCGCTCCCTCGATGGACAGCTTTTCTTCAGCACAGCGGTCTGTCTCACCTTCCCCCCGGCAGGGGAGGTGCTTCCCGCCTTGTGGCAGTTTCCTTCCCCCGGTGCGTGGCCGCCCCTCTTCCTCCCAAGGGTTCACGGAGCGAACCCTCGGGAGGAGCCAGTGGGGGCCGCTCTTCCGGCTGATCTTCGCCGAGGTTTTCTTTCCTTCGGTGCGCGGCAACCCTTTCTTCTTAGCGCGAGGGCCCGCTAATCTCACTCCCCGGTGGGAGCGGTCTCTCCGGCGCCCGCGCTCGGAGTAGGACCTGGAATAATCCGGATCCTCGTCGGTAGGTGGACCGTAGCTCTCGCTACTGCCACCTGTACACCGACTCCTGCTCCTGGTGGAGCTGATGCTCGACTTTGGCCTGTCGTCGATTGACGACGTGTCGGGGGTCGGGACCATGTCCCAGGCACGACGCTTCACGGTAATCTTTTCGTCACAGGTACCCGTGGTCAATGCCTGACGGCCCGTCGCAAGATGACGACGCGGAGGGAACCGGGACAATATCCCCACCAACGCGCTGGTTTTCGGCTCCGAGATCCGAAACGTTCTTCTCCGTGGTCGTCGTATTTGTATCCATCAAATGTAGGATTGTTACGAGCCCTACTCACTCTGGTTTGAATTCGGGGTTTTCCTTCCCCTAAAAAAGTGTGTGGGGGTCCCAATGGGACTCCCTCAAACCCCCCCTCGGTGAAGAACCGAGGGGGACCCTACAGCACCTGCCCCCCGGGGGGCAGGTCTTCCCTCCCCGTGGCTCCTCCACCGCTGCGTCATGATATCAGCGGTGGGGGTCTCACCCCGGATCGGGGCTATTCCCTCCTAGCGCGAGTGGGGGTGTTCCCTCGAAAGGGGCGGCCCCTCCCACCCGCTTCTACCTGGCCCATGGGTCCCGGCGCCGGGGCCTTTAACACCCCGAGACCACTACCGCACCGGCAGATCCCATGGACCTGGAGTGAGGGAGTGTGTGGGGAGAGCTACTCCTGCTCACATCCCCCCACTCCTCCCATCCCGCCTCCGCTAGGAGAGATGTCGAGGCCTCAACCTCCATAGCTACCTCCGCCTCGAAGACCCCCTCTGACCTAACCGTCGGAGGTGGGTCCGGCTCTCGCGGAACGGCAGTCGTTCGCACTCCCTCCGGTCCTGCCACTTTCTTGGGAGGGGGAGGAGGCTGGATTACCCCAGCATCCTCCTTCCCTATCTCTGCCTCTTTCGGCCCGATTTTTTGGGCCGCCGCTGGGACTGATGCCCCAGGTATTACTTTTGCGGCGGCACCGTGGGCCGGCTGAGGCTGCGCGAGCTCCACGCCCTCAGCGGCAGCCTCAGCCCCCCCACGTGTCGCCTTTTTCCTCCTTCGCCGGTTACGGCGAGGAGGAACCCCCTCTCTCGGTGCAGTCCGGGAGACAGCCTTACATGACCGCCAACCCATACGGTGGGCGGCATACCTCCCCTCATATTGGCAGAGGGTGCACCTCACATCCGAGGTGCACCTCCTGGCCACATGGTCGGCCTCTCCACAACGGAAGCAGCGGCCCCCCAGTCCTACTTCGAACTGATAGGCCGCCGCCATGTGCCCGTACTTGAGGCATTTGTAGCAATGGAGGGGCCGCTCCTACAATACCCCTACCCTCGCCATCGACCACCCGATAGGCAGTCCCCCGGCCGCTATAATCTTCTGGGCCAGTGCTAGCGGGCACCGGACCCAGATCCCGCCCAGCCCTCCGGATGACCTCCTGACTTGACCTGTCTAGAGGTCATCCGGGAGACATCCCGTGTGTTTTTGTATCGCGGCCCTCACCATAATAGGGGTGACCGAGTCATGCAGGTCAACGAGGCGGAGTTCCGTAGGCCTGGCGACCACGGCCAATCCGCATAACGCGTCTTGGAGGTCCCGCGCCAGGCGATCGGCTTTTGCCTTGCCGTCCTGGCCAGGGATCTCCAAGATAACCCCCCCATTCCTGGCGCGTTTTAATTTAAATTGGCCAGGCTGCAGGCCAACCTCCTGTAGGTCGACCTGCTGCCTGGCCTGCACCATTACCTCCTTTATGGAACCCCACGGCAATGCGGTCACAGTCACGACCGGATTGCGCGGGGGGTTCCGTATCTGCGGCCTCTTGGGTGAGGGAGGTCTCTTCTTCGGGACCCCTCCCTCCCTAGCCCTCCCACCCTTGGGAGGCGACGCGACCTTCTTTGTCGTGCCGTCTCCCTTTTTGAGGCCGGGTGGTTTGGGCTTCTACCCAGCCCCCTTCCCTTTTCCCTTACAAGGGACACCGTGGTCCACCCGTCTCGACCCTCCCCCGCGGCCGCCGGCTGCCGCAGAGGGGGGCGAGGGGGGGCGGTCCCGCTACCCGAAGCTGCGGACGCCAGAGAAGGAACTAGCTTCTCCGTCCGCCCTATGCGGGCGGTTTGCGCCTTGAGGCCCCGGACTTGTATCTCCAGAGCCCCAAGGCGTCCATCCGGACCGCTCCCTCGCCAACCTCTCATAGTCCCATAGTGCCTCTTCGATCTCCCCCAGGCACCTATGGGTCCAATTATTTAATGAGGCGAGCGTCTCCCCCTCATAGCCTCTCGTCGTTTTCCTCCCCGGTTCAATCCTAAGGTCGCGGAAGTATCGAACCCCATCGATAGTCTCCGCGGCCAGGGTTTCACCCAGCCATAAAGGCTTCCGCACGGGCGGAAGCCCCCACTGGGCTCTCTTACTCCCCGCTTCGGCACCCCCCTCCCGCGCGTTTCAGAGAGGAGCCCCTCCGGTCGAGGACTCTTCGTCCTCGACCGGCGGGAACTCCTCCCCCGGGAAGTGCCGCTCCCGCAACTGCGAGACGGACAGCTGTTCGGCCCCCCCTCGCGTGTATAGGAAGGTCCACCTCCTTCCTTCCGCGAAGCGAGAGGAGGGAAATGGACCTCACTATCCCCCTTAATTGGGAGGC